TACATATTTTTATCAATTATAGATTTTAAATAATTAAAAAGAATATATTAAGTGTTTTTCAAGGAGTTTAGGGATAATATTTTTTTATATTTAAATTGAAAAAGAAATAAAAGCTATAATATGGGTCGCACTCTAGGTAATTGGCATTGGAAGTTATACAGTGTGACATCTTAATGTAAGGTTAAAATAAGGCGTTATTGGTTTTATTATTATTTAAATAACAAAATCGGTAAAAATTTATCTAAAACATTATTATTTTTACCTAAAACATAAATTTTTTAACATTTCCGGTAAAAATACCCAACTATAACAAAACTGGTAGAAAAATAATAAAATCGGTAGTGCTTTTCCAAATTCGGTAAAACGCCCAATAATAACAAAACCGGTAGAAATAATAATGTTTCCGGTCATTGTTTACCAAATTTTTTATTTAAATAATAACAAAACCGATAACGTCTTTTTTTAACCGTATATTAAAATTACCGCACGTGAGCATTTCCAAATTGATAGCCATTTGTTGTTGTTAATACATAGTGGCTTTGGTCATCATTAGTTTAGTTAGAATGATAATACTATTTTTATCCCATCCATTAAAATTATCTTTTTTAATTACCCATTCCCTTTATTTAATCCATAAAATATTTTACTAACCTCTGACCGACTTTATTTTATAAAACCAAAATCTTATGGTTAAGGTTGGGGTTGATGACGTCGACGGTGAGCTACGTCTACGTTTTTTAATATGAAAATTGTTTTCAAAATGTACAAAATACCCATTGTTTTCGTATAGTTCAACTAACAAATCCATGGTATTTTAGTCCTCCCACGAAAGCTGCTTGTGGTTTGCTGTGAAAGATATAGATTACGTACTTAAAACTCGGCTCGCCATTGTTTTGCAGGAAAAAAAGGACTACAAATGGAGTACAAGCAACTTGGGACTTCTTCATGTTCGAGAATCCGTTGGATTCGATCTGGCGAGATTCCGATGATTGGCAGCCGCTTCGCCGAGTAACCGTCGGATTTCAGGCGTATAGTTTGTCGTTTTCTTGGATCCGAGTTCCATCGAAAACAAAGGTATATGTCATATATGTATGTGTTGATCATGCTAAAATTTTGTACCTGGTTAAAGACTTTGTCCTTTGTTTTATTCCTGTTTATATTTAAATCTTGTACTTGGAAGAATATAATTCGTACCCGTATTCGAATATGTGTCGATTCATGAGTACATGGATAGATCTTTAGCTTGTTGAATAGAATGAGACCACTAATCAAAGGGTGTTGTTTTTCTGTGTGATTTGTGAAGTAATTAGTAGAAGATCAAGAAGAAATGGTGCATTTACTGTCGTTTCTCGATGGATTGGCGATAAGTGTTTCGATGAAGAAAGGGAAGAGTCCGACGGATGTCGGAAGACAAGCGGCGGAAGCCATGGCCAAAGATGCCAAGAAGAATGAGTTGGTGCTTAGCAACTCCTCAGGTACACTCAAACTAAACAAGTCCAATAGTTTTGCTTCTATCTGCTCGAAGAAAGGCGAAAAAGGAATCAATCAGGATTGTGCAATTGTTTGGGAGGTAAGTTAACCATGTAAGTTGTATCATTAGATAAATTCGATATTCGGTTCTCGAAATCTACAACTCCTTTCTCGATCCTCGAGTTCGGGATTCGAATATCATCATCTGTAACTCGTTTCTTCGTGTTCAAGCTACAACTTCGTATGTGATTCGGAAGGTTTTTTTTCGGGATAGGAATTTGGGTGCCAAGATGATATGGTATTTTGTGGTATTTTTGATGGGCATGGACCTTGGGGTCATATTGTAGCCAAAAGGGTGAAGGAATCAGTGCCTCCTTCTTTGCTTTGCAACTGGCAAAAAGCTCTTTCCTTGCCTCACTTGGCGATGAATTGGACACAGAACTCAACCCTAATATTCATCACTTTGACATCTGGAAACAATCTTATTTGAAAACTTATGCCGACATCGACCTCGAGCTTAAGCACCATCCCGGCATCGATTCCTTCCGTAGCGGGACGACGGCTTTGACGATCATTAAACAGGTACATTTTTGTTATTTCTTATGTCACTTTAGTATTCATCCTCATATTCAAACATGCTCGTACCTGGTTGACTTTGAGATGGTCCGGTTAACAAAATTTTCTCGACGTTGATGGATTAGGGCGAACATCTGGTTATAGCGAACGTCGGTGATTCTCGGGCAGTCCTAGCAACTACTTCAGTTGGTGGCAAATTGGTACCTCTTCAACTTACAGTTGACTTCCAGCCTAGAATTCCTGGTTAGATAATGAACTTGTTACCACCTTATTTCGAAAGTTTTTGTAAAGACTCTGTTCCAGGATGTTTCACCTGTGTAACTGCATACTGGAGCGGTCTCATCCGTGTAACCGTGTACCGGAGCGGTGCAGAGGAGACATCCTGGAACCGGTCATTACAACTTTCAAGGATCTTATCTTTTGTCTATATATATGTAACAGAGGAGGCTGAGAGAATAAGACAGTGCAATAGACGAGTATTTAGCTTAAGAGATGAACCGGGTGTGTACAGGGTGTGGATGCCTAATGGGAGCACACCAGGGCTAGCTTTATCGAGAGCCATCGGCGACCACTGCGTCAAAGAGTTCGGCCTCATCTCGGAGCCTGATGTCACCCAAAGAAACATCACAAACAAAGACAAATTTGTCATTTTAGCAACAGATGGGGTATGAATTGTGTTCAGCTTTCAATCCCCTAATTCATTTTCCATTCCTATAGTGCCTTGTAGTCCAAGGAATACAGAAAAAGGGTTAGTCCGCCCAATCGGGAGAACAGTTATTTAACACATGTTTTCCGATGTTCATTTGAATTAGGTGTGGGATGTTATTTCGAATGAGGAAGCAGTCGAGATTGTTTCGTCGACGGAAGATCGGGAGAAATCAGCAAAGAAACTGGTTCAATGTGCCATAAGAGCATGGAAGTATAAGAAGAGAGGTATTGCAATGGATGACATTTCAGTAGTCTGCCTTTTCTTCCACCCCAAGCTGTCTCGAAACGTCGACTTTGTCAAGGCCTCCGCCTTTACCAACACGGCGAAACTCGGCTAACCGACCATTTCCGGCGGCCCTCAGCCGTTCATCTGCTCTGTATTACAGTACTATGTGTGGATGTAATGTCAAACCTATTTGGTGTGTTATATTGAGATAGTGTAATAAGATGTACATGCTTGAGCAGAGCCTTGGCCGCCTCAATTAATGGTACAATTACATTTCAAGCCACTTCAAAATTTTATTAGTTCAATTAAGTCCTTAGTAGCCCCTAATTAAAGGGAAACTTTTCATTTTTGGTGCTCCATTCAATTGAAGATATTTAGACACAAATAATTTTAATTTTAACCCTCGAAATGTATAATATTTTCGATAAGACAAAAGTTGCCGACCTTTATTTCGGTTTCACATGGCAAAATATTGTAGAATAACCAATAAGAAGTTGAGTCAAAAGAAACAGAAAGATCAATTCCTTCCACTTGTAAGCCATGCAACTTTATGTTTTGTTTTCACCCTTTTGATCATAAGTAAAGTATACCATAGCAAGTATCAATGCAATACGAATATAACTTTTTGGGCTTAATTAAAAATAAATATTTAAGTTATAATATTTTTAGCATGAACCAACTTACCTCAGTTAAAAGAATCGTTGTTGTATCTAAAGATTACGGGTTTGAGCACAAATGACTGCAGTAGAGCGATTGATCGTTCATTGTCAAATAGATATGAGTATTTAAAACAAATATTATTTTGTAATCACTTAGCTTACTAAAAAAAGTTATAGTATTTTTATTTATTTTAAATAATTATTTTTTTATTAAAGTATGTATTTATTTATTTATTTTTTGTTATCATATTTAGTGTTAAGTTTGTTTTGGTTATTTAAAAAACTGTCAACCACTTTAAATATGGCATGTGTGGTGTTTATACTTTTTTTTCTTAAAAATTTATTTATAAAAAATTAAAATCATTATTATTTTAAATAAGAAATCCTTAATTTTTTTTAAAAATCTAAAAAAAACTCTAAAATTTTTAATTATAAACTTTCATTACTATCTTCGATTACTATCGGCTGATACTGTCGAGGTTTTTAATTATAAAAATTTTAATTAAAAAGCTAAAGAAAATCACCACGTGTCATGTTTTGAATGGTTGACAAGTTTTTTTAATGGTTTAAACCACTTTAATCACTTAAAATGGATATTTAATTAATGTAATTTTCACAAGTAACAATAGCATCTTGAGCACATTCATTTTCACACGTAAATGATCCTTTGAGAACAAATAATACCTCTCTCACAAGTGGATTGCAGAACCGATTCTTCCAGCTCTTGGCAAGCATGGAATCTATACCTCTCCTTCATCACCTCCAATTTTCTTTCTATTTTTCTCTCTTTTTCTGCACATGCCGTATCAATATTCTTTATTTTCTACATTATGCTACATGCATTCGGATTTTCGTCGCTAAAATCGACGAAATATTTCCATTGCCGTTGCTGCCGCCATAGCTGTAATTACTGTAATACACTAATACTCGTCTCTGTAATGATCGATCCTACTGTAATACGAGTGTCGCCGCGGCGAACGGATGTATTCGTATTCAGTTACGTATGGTAATGGCTTGTACGTGTTGTAGCTGTGAGTTACGAAGGGCGGTTGCGGTTGATGGTGGAAAGGTTGGCCATTAGGATAGAAACTGCATTGGATATGGCAAGTAGGGTATTGTGTACCATAGCGTCCTTCTCCGTAACTGTGAACGTATTCGTATCCATATCCGTATATTTCCAGCCGTTGCGCCGCCATAGCTGTAATTACTGTATACACTAATACTCGTCTCTGTAATGATCGATCCTACTGTAATACGTGTCGCCGCGGCGAACGGATGTATTCGTATTCAGTTACGTATGGTAAGGCTTGTACTGTGTAGCTGTGATTACGAAGGGCGGTTGCGGTTGATGGTGGAAAGGTTGGCCATTAGGATAGAAACTGCATTGGATATGGCAAGTAGGGTATTGTGTACCATAGCGTCCTTCTCCGTAACTGTGAACGTATTCGTATCCATATCCGTAATCCGGTGAATGGTGACATATGACATGAACTTCTCCTACATTTTTTGGTCCCGAAGGTTGCGGTGGTTGCTAGACGGCACTCGCATCCGCGGGTGCAGGTGTCGGTTCAGGCTGTGGAGTCTCCGGAGGTGATTGGTCTTTCGGTGGCTCCGCTGTTGGGGCTGCTGCTGCTTCAGGGAGTGGAGCAGCACCAGCTTCAGCGGGCGGTTGAGTTTCTGATGGAGTCGGATTCACTGTCTCCGTTGGTTGCCCTCGTGGCTACGCAGCCTCATGGGTGGTTCCAAATGCGAACAAATCGTTACAGTCTTCCGAATTGCCTTAACGATCTTCTCCGGATCCGCCCATCCTATGACCGTCAACTTCTGTCGAGCAATATCTGGATAGACTTCATAAATACCTATAAACAAACCCGAAAAATCACGATTCAAGCAATAAAACAGAAAAATCCATTAGTGGTACTATTGCAATACAATCTAAATTACTGGAAAAATCATCCTACGAAGAATTTAACTACAAAACTGAACTGAATTATATATAATCGAAATTTGTACATAGATATTCTAACAAAATCATGTGCAAATATTAACTTCTTGTTACCATGGATACCATGAAGCGCCTTTTTGATCTTCTGAACGCAACCGTTGCAGTCCATTCGGACTTGGAGCTCGGTGATCCGAGGCTTCTGCACACAAAAACAATTGCGGTTAGTCGAAATCGTCGTAATGCAGAGGATGTTTCATGGATGAATTACGAGTTTTACCTCGATCTCCGACTACATGAGGCGGAGGGAGATGGTGGGGAAGAAGGAAATGGGAAGAAGCCCTGGAGGGGAAGTATGGTATGTGTTAAGAGGAGATGGGGAATCAATAGGTGCATTTTATTTCTACACGAATAATAAGGAATATTTCAAAGGCAAAAGATGTGGGGTATGTAAGGAATCAACTCTTTCTTTGCTGCCAGCTTTGTTAGGCTTCAAAGCCTCGCTATCGTTTCATAAAGGAAAAAAAGATTGCACTTTATTCATACCATTTTTTAATTAATAAATGGTATTTAGTAAATTAAACCGAGTTTAATGTCATTTATGTATTCAGATATTGTAAGTAGGGATGAATGTAATATTTTATATTAAAAATACAAAATTTTTAAGAAATATATAAAAAAAATTAGGATGTAAAATTATAAAATTTCACGTATACGAAATTAGGATGAATGCAAAATGTGACATTTTACTTCACTAAACTGAAAATGTTGAGGGAAGGAGAATTTGGTTTAGGTTGGGATGGGAAGAAGCCATACTTGAGGATGTGAAAATGGATGGGAGGTTACCATATCCTAAACCGACCATTGGAAATAATTAAATTTAAAGTGCATGTGAAAGAGATTATAGAGTATATATCATTATCATTATTTTATATGTTGAGGGCGGGGCAAAACTTTTTTTTTATATATAGAAAGATGCTAATTTTATTAAAAATATGAAATATTCATAATTATAATGAAGATTTATGACTATAATCGTAAACGTAAATTAGATTATAATTAGGATATTTTTCTATAATCATTGATACAAAAACTAGTCACGTAGGTCACACAAGGACCATAAAAGGAAAATGTTAAAAAACCTAACCAATGCTCAATAATCTGATTGGATAGCCAAACAAACCACAAAAGGGAATGAAACTACTGAAAGACCACCGACAAATCGTAAATCAGAGTCAAACGACGTGAGAAAACTATCTACGAGCACAAAACGCGTACCCAAATCAATCCAAGGGTCCAAAGTAAGGAATATCAACATGATAACAAATAAGTTCCATCTTGATTAGTCGTGGAGATGTCAAATCCAACCCTGAGAAAAAAAAAACAAAAACATCTGTCAAACGACAGAAAACTACCAAAAGGCAGGAAAAAACGTGTTTGTTAATGCTTAAATTTGTATCCTATTTCTAAATGACATTTAATTCTATGTTTAATAGAATTAAATTGTGTTTTGGAAATGACGATTTTACCCTCACTATTTAGCCTATAAATAATGGACAATTTTATTCATTTTAAGATATCCCTAAGCAATTGTTTGCTTTGAAACACACTTATCTTTCGAGTGTTGTTTGAGTTGAGAGAAGAACAACACCACCAAGTCCACCCCATCTTTTGGATGTACGAAATTTGGAGAGCCATGCTAACCTCGGGAGGTTATTTGTCCATTCTAGTAATTACACACATCGAGAAAAATTTACTTCTAAAACAGTGAATTACCACGACACAATTATCGTTCTGATTGATTATTTTATTTAATATTTTCAAGTGAGTGCTAAAGTATCGTTTTGAGGTAGTAAATTTTTTCAACAATTTACAAGTGAATTCATGAACTGCTGCATGATATTTGCAAAAGGAACGATGAAACCACATGTCAAATTCGAATTTGTGTGTAAGTGTGAAATCAAATGTCGGTTCAACCTTGCATCAAAGTGGTACGTAATATTTTGATACATTATTATTCTTGTGGTTCGATACAGCCTGATGCAACTAAGAATTGGTTTGCTTTGACAAGTCTAAATGTTTAATTACATTTAATACAATGAAATTGCTTATTAACAGTCAGTAACTGCCACTATAAGAACCTCAATATAAATGCTATGTATATATATATATATAAACACTTTAATTAGTTGGCAAGCATTAATAGTGGAAAGTTAAATTATGATTCTACATGCGAGGTCAGACTATTTAGGCTGACTTGTTGCATATCAATTTATGCTTAGAATGATGTATGAATTAGTATAGACGTGCCTTTAAGTTAGTCTTTAAAACTTAGTGGAAATATTGTGAAATGAGATAAACTATTAGTTAAGACTAAGGTAGTGAAAAACTACTAAGACTAAGGCTAAGACAATAACAATCCCAAAATGTGTATGCTTAATAAGATACTATTGTGAGTAAAAGTATAAAACATAATTATTTAAGAAGCTTTAAGAAAGAGAAAATTCATTGAAAAATAATGTGATAATATGAAAGTGCATGTCTAAGATTGGTTCTATGAAGACTTTGTATTTAAGCTTGTCTAGTGCACCACCTCTCTTTCATAGAAATCTGCTTTGTACATTGTTCATTACTATGCTCACTATTCCAATTTATAAAATACCATGACAAGATAAGAACTTTTTAAACTTAGCGCAGAAGTTAAAAGAGTAAAGATTAATTTGGTAGAATAGAATACCAAATTTAGTCATAATAAATAAATATGTGAAAGTCTATTAAGGCTAATATATTGAATATTATGAAAGAAAAAGTGATAGACATTAGTGCTACTTAAAGGTTGATTGTAGCTTTTAGATCTCTTTGAGTAATTTTTCTAAGTAGAGGAAAGAAAAAAATATTATTTATCTTAGGAGTTGTGCTGAAATCTATTGTTTTAAAATTGAGATCATTTTTCATGTTGTTAGAAAAAGTTAAAACTCCCAATAAACTTTGTCATAATATTCATAATTTCCTAAACACTTCTTATAAAGAGTTAGAAAAATCGAAATTCCTTCAGAATGAGAAAAAGTCGTGGAGGACTACAATAAGATATAAAGAAATTTCTAATTGTTTGAGAATATAATTATGTGTAAACAAAATTTGAGCTTGTTAAAACATAATTTTATGGTGAAAACTAATAACAAACTTTACTCAAGTATGAATGAGTAAATGTGCAAGAGAATTTATTTACACGTTATCAGAGATACTTATGGATATATTTCTATCTTAAAATGTTAGAAATGTGTGGGTGTCTTAAAATAATGATTAAAGTCAGAGAGGAATCTAGTTGATCCGCTCACCAAAGGTTAAAGTCAAAAATTGGTTCTTGATTCGTCGAGGGGATGCGTCTAAAACTCATTGGTTGAAGAATTCATGGTGGATACCCAACTTCGTTATCTAAGTTCAATATGGTCAGACGAAACCATAAAAAGACTCATAGTATACATTTCTATTTTCCTATCCCTATGACTAATAATGTACATGCACAGGATGAGCTTAATTGCTCTTAATAAATTCATAGCCCAGGCTTTGAGTGGTCTTAGTGAGAAAGACTTGATGAATTTATCGATTTTGGTTGAATATTTATTCTTAATTGCTCTTAATAAATTCATATCCCAACATTGTGTGGGTACTCCTAATCGCGAAGGACTAGATGAACTTATCGCTAGAGAGGATGAGTTTTATTAAACTCTTAATGAATTCAAACCCAAGAGTTTGGGAGTTCCTAGTGAGAAGGACATATTGAATTCATCGATTAACGAGGTTGAATATTTATTCTTAATGATTTCTTATCACAGAGTTTGGGTGGTTCATTTAATATAAACTTGAAGAAATTCACCATACTTTTTGTGAGGTTGATTTGTTGTAAAAGCTCTTAATTATTTCATAGTCTAATTTTAGGTGGTTTATGTTGAGATAAATTTGATGAAATAACCTACATAAGTGGGAAGGATTAGTCACATGTTGTTTTTCTAGTACACTTATTAGAATCCTGAAAAAATAGGGATAAACATATATACACTCTTGTATATACTCTTTGTAGACACATCGAGGATTATGGTGGATGAAGGGGTTAGTTGTGTGTTATGAGTTTACCCCTATCTTAGAAAGTTCAAGACTAGTTTCACTAATCTAATAAAAGAATTGCTCATCATCACTATGTACTAGTTCAAGAAACGCTCACTAGTGCTTAAGCAATTAATCTCGCTATTGTGCTTCTCGTGTTTTAACTTCAATGCTCTCATTTTCACGAAAAAATATTTCGCATTTGTGGGGGATTGTTAGTTAATGCTCAAATTTGTAACCTAATCATTTATATAAGGTGTTGGAAAAAAAGATTTATAGGTTATTTGACATTTTCAAAAAACCCTTAAACTATGTTAATGTCTTTTAGATTGTTATTTTGTTAAATTTGATGTTTTGACTGTATACAACATGAAAAATACATCATATTTTTCAGACATTTTCTCAAAGACACAAATAGTTCGTGTATCTTCCCACCAACACTGCAACATGATAGCAACACTATATTAGTAAATAATATTCCTAACATCTTAAATGAATAATTTGTTTACATAATATTATCTAAAGAATTTTTTTGAGGGCTAGCATTCAACTACATAATATAAAATTAAAAAAATAGGGTAAACTACATGAATGAACACGCAACTAAGGTTTGGGATTCAGAATGACCACTATTTTTAAAATTGTAGCAGTTGTGCCACTGTACTATTTAAATGGAGCCTAAAAGACCATTAGCTGTTAGAAACTAAATGACAAGACTGACGTGGCTGTTAATTTTAAACGACGAACCTATGTGTACACTTAAAATAATTTTATAACAAAAAAGGATAAAAATGCTAAAAATAACTCGACCATTAAACTCCATTTCAAAAAAAGTCAAAGTTTCATCACGAAGAAGAAGGAGAAATATGTAGAGAGCATTTGAAAACGAGTGTGTTTGAATTTCATCACGAGAAAAGAAAACCTGGTTCGAAATACAATAAGTATTATTCTTATTTCCGTTGTATGATTTGTTCTTCTTCTTCTTGTTGTATGGTTTCTTTGTTTTGGGGTTTAATCTTAATAATTCGAGATTAGGGAAAATTAAGATTAGGGTTAATATTTAGGGTTGGGTTAACTAGTAATTTTAACGGTAACATATCAATTTAAGCTAGATAGTTTGGATTTAGAGTTAGTAAATGATAATTTAGG